CAGCCCCGTAGTTTCTTAGCATCTGTAGGCTCCCACGTCCTTAAGTGTGACAATGGGATTGGACTGATGTCTCTTTCATGAGTTGATGTCGTCGTGTAGGTTAAACACATTGCTAACGTGTAAAATTCTGGCATCTAGTAAGCGCTCAATAAACGGTTGTTGTCACAGGGATTATACAGCCACTGCCAGTGACCACCACAGTACTGAAGGGGACGAAATCCCCAGGCTCCCCCAAGCCTTTTGGACCAGAAGAGGCAACAGATCCTATGGAACTGGAGTTACAGATAGTTGTGAGTTGCCATGTGGGTACCAGAAACTGAACCCAGGTCCTCGGCAAGAGCAACAAGTGCTCTTAACCACTGAGCCATCTCTGCAGGCTTTAAACTCACAGATCCATCTGTCTCTACAGCCGAAGTGCTGTGGTTAAAGGCATGCAGCACTCTACCGAGCTTACATTATCTGTTTGTACGGTTTATGCTTTTAATTTCATGTCTATGGGTGTTTTGCAGGCGTATATGTCTGCACGCCATGTGTGTGCTTCGCTTGTAGAGGCCAAAAGAGGGCATCATAGTCCCTGGAACTGAACTTATAGCTGGCTGTGAGCCACTGTGTGTGTTCTGAGACCTCGGGAAGAGGCCAGTGCTAAAAGTTAAAAACTGCTGAGCTGTCTCTCCTAATTTTTTTTTGGGGGGGGGGGGCGGGGGGAGATAGTTTCTCTGCGTAGCCCTGGCTGTCCTGGCTTCCTGGAACTTGCTCATAGACCAAGCTGGTCTTAAGCTCCAAGATGCTGGGAGGCAACCTCCTTCCCCAGGTTCCTAATTTTATTTTATTTCATTGAAGTCACATGTTTTGTGCAAATATGAGATAGCTTCATTATCTGTCTTCATAGAAATTTCAAGAAAAGATTGTTATTACTTATCAACTCAGATAGTACTGATGTTGATTTAAAAAAAAATCAAAGTGATTCTTAAAAATGAAGCTTAAGGGAACTGGAGTGATGGGTCAAAGGTTAGGAGTACTGGCTGCTCTTGCAGAGGACCCAAGTTTGATTTCCAGCACCCACAGAGTGGCTCACACCTGAAACCCCAATTCCAGGGACTCAGAATTGTCTTCCAACTTCTACACACACAGTGCACAGACATATAAAGCAGGCAAAACACACAGAAAATGATAGAAAGGTATTTGGTTTTTTTGATTGTTTGTTTGTTTTATATTTTAAATTCTGATTTACCCAGTTACCTAGTCTATAATTCAAGAGGAATTAAAGGGAAAGTGTCCGAGATACAGCCCACTACTAAAACAGGCTGCTTGCCTCGGCCTAGGAATGTAGTTTTCCTAGCACCTCTGAAGCTCTGGTTCAATCCCCACATAAATCTAGTATTGTGGCGCTTGCCTGTATCCCAGCACTCAAGAGGCAAAGGTAAGAGGTTAAAAGTTTAGGGTAACCCTCGGCTACATGGAAGCCAGCCTAGGCTACATGATACTGTCTCAAACAACCATTGGTGTCTTAGCTGGTCTGCCAAACCAAGGCATTAGTAGCAAGATTTTAAACTCCCTTCCCAACAAAAGATTCCAAATAAGATTAGGTTAGACCTAACAGGTTTTCCAATCAAATACTAATCTCTTTGAACCTTTTAGGAGGTGGCATCATTGGAAAAACAAGGACATGGCCAGTAAGATGGCCCAAGGTAAATGACCTTGGGTAGATTACTGGGATCCTCATGCCAGAGGATGACTGATGCAAGTTGTCCTCTGACCGCTACACATTCCATGCCGGTTCAGGAGAGCATATATGTGTGTGAGCACACAAGCATGCGCATGCTCACGCACACACACACACTCACTCATCATGGCTCAGCAGTTAAAGACACTTGTTCTCCTGGATTAATACCAATAGCCTACAGCAATAGCCTACAAGATCTTGCTCTTACTACAGAGAGCTGTTTTGCTTTATATTTTCATATATTGTATACATTCAAAATTGGCACACAGACACCAGCAGCTCACCCCCCCCCACATACACACAAACGAACTTGCAAGCTACTTTTCAGCTCTACACAGTTTCATTGCATTATGTGCTGATGTGAATTTCTTCTGAGTTTATCACGTTTGGAGTTCAATATGCTTCTTAGTTGTGTAGACTGAAAAAATTCTAACAAATCTGAAATGTTTTTAAGCATCATTGCTTCAAATATCCCTTTTGCACCTCTCTGCTCTCCTAGGGTTAGTTTTACAAATATCTGTATGTTTGATGATGCCCCATGGACTGCTCATTGGATAACCTGGGACAACATAGTCTGAGCCTCACTCGTTATTCCATTACTTGCTCACATCAGCCACTGGAGTCCAGAGCGGGCATATGGACTACGTTTATGGCTTCTCATAGTTTTCTTACTTATATCCTTGGGGGGGTTTCTTGTATTATTTTGAGTCTGAAAAGTTGATTTTAATTTTTTTGTCTAGTACTAAACTCCAGGCTGCCCTGAGTTTTGGATATTTCAGAGTAGGATGAGTAAAGATAAGCAATATAATGCACTGTGCAGACACACATGGTAACACCCACCTGTCATCCTGATAGTTGGGGAATGGAGGAAGGATGATAAGACGGTGAAGCTTATCTTTGGCTACATGGCAAGCTCAATGCCAGCCATGACAGTCTCTTTAAAAAGAGGGTGGGAAAGGGCACTTGCCACCCAACAGAGCAAACCTGAGGACCCACTCGATCCTGGGAAGCCATATAAAGGTGGAAGGAGAGAACCAACTACAAAGCCCCCTGACCTCCATATGCATCCTGTGGCACACGTACTGTCCCGCAACTGCCGCCACACACAACAAATTAAAGTCAAAGTAAAAATCTTAGGAGAAAAGAATTTTTACCTAAAACAAAGGTGAAAAAAATACTTCACTGCATCTCTCTCTCTTTTCCGAGACAGGGATTCTCTGTGTAGCCTTGGCATTTATACACTGGCATGTCACTACAGTGTATACACAAGCCCCAAACATGAATATTGACTTTGTTTTTGTTTACAGTTGTGAAGCTTTTCTCCAGGAAAAGCTGCTTCGGTTTCTGCTTTTCTTCTGTGAACGCGCAGGCCGCTTTTTTTGTTTTGAAGCTGGATGGTTTGAATAGCATAATGTACTGACCAGAAATCAAATTCTCTACTTAGGCTTTTTCTGCTGCTCCCTATGGTCATAGTGACAGAGTGACTTTCCTAAACTGTAGCTACAGAAGTTTCCTTGGAGAGGCTAGAGAGCTGGCTCAGCTCTTACGAGCACTTGCTGCTTTTATAAGCCGAGCTGTGTCCCAGTGTGCTAGGCAGCTCTCCACCCCCTGTAACTCTGGCTGTCAGGATGTAACAGGCCTTCTCCTGGCCTCCATAGATACCTGCATGCAAAGCTTACACCCCCACATATACACATAAAAGAAAATCCTTAATAAAATCAAAGTTTCCATGAAAACTAGACAACTAAAAGTAAAACCAAGAAAATACTGCTTGGACATATTAGCCGTGTCGGGTCACATTTCAAATGCATCAAGTCCTTTAAAATCTCCCTTTGCCTTGGAGCTCTTTGTGTATGCCACTGTGTGTGTTCATAACTCTAAATTCCTGTGTACTTCTTTTTTAGATTTCTTTTGAACCTCATTTCCTGGTGGACTACTCTCCCCTGCTTGCCCTCAGGCTTACATGCAAGTCTTTTCTTTACCCAAACTGTAACTGTTCACAGTGCGTGGTTTGTTCATCTGCACTGTACTCGGTGAGAGCTCTTCCCCACTTTACACTTCTGAGTTAAACCCGTTGTCTGTCATTCAGGTCGCCTCAGGCAGGTTTTGAGAATGAAGGCACTCTGCTCGTTAGGAACTAGAAACCACGAGGACTCCATCTTGTGTGTGCTGTGGGTTATGGAACTGGACCTTATCCCTTGGCTAGGCTGACTGGCCACCAAGCTCTAGGGACCCACCTGTCCTGCCTTCACTTTATCAGCTCTGAGGGTTGATACCAATGCCTACTGGTAGGCCCCACTGGGGTGGCTGCCAAATCCTTGTACAACAGCCACTTCAGCAGTGGAGCAATCTCCTGAGGCCTTACGGCTGCAATGTAGAACTGGTGTAGACTCTTCAAGGTGAAGGATGGGAAAAGGCCATTACTGCCAGGGTTTGCTATTTCCCTGGTTCAGCACATGCTTGGTGGCTTTAAACCTTTGACTGCTTCCAGAGTCCAGACAAAATGCTAAATCTTTCACTTGAAAAAAGTCCTTGAAGTTATCTACTAAGACATTCTTGTTTGCTTGGTTTCATTATGTAGCCCAGGCTAACCTTAAACTTATCCTCCTGCCTCAGCCACTTGGGTTCCAGAATTATTAACCTTTATCACTATGCCATGCAAAACTCCCATTTTTGCTGCTTCCACTCTTTTGTTATTTGAGTGCCTGACACTGCACATGAAGACTTGTAGGGCAAAGTCTTGGCTTTTGGTGTTAACTTTGGCAGTTAAATTAGCTGCAGTACTACTCCCTGAGAACTTCACAATGACTGAGGCACAATGACAAAATCTGTACTTCACACTGTATACGGTGGGTCTTTTTCCCAGGTACATATCACATAGAGAAGGAACATGTTCTTGGAGCACACTGGGAACCTCCTCTCTTCCTTGATGGGACCTATGTACAAGTTTATTTTAGGATTTTCACCTCTATAAACATCACTGCCAAATAAGAAATGATGGGCAAGCAAGTGAAGGAAACAAATCTCAGGGCTGGCGAGACAGCTCAGAGGTTAAGAGCTCGGGCTGCGCACAAGGCGGCCCTCCACGGTCCTAACAGCAGTTCCAGGGGATCTTGTGTCCTCGTTGGCCTCCAAGCACACCGAGCGCAAAAGCGGTACACAGACATACAGGCAGCCAGAATATCCATACACAAAACATTAATTTAATTAAAAAAAAAAGTTTTTTTTTAAACCAAATTTACCAATTGTAGACTTATTTTAAAAACCCATAGATTTAGGTTGACATCTGTTTGCAGAGAAACTTATCCATTATTTTTATTAAAATAACATTTCTATTACTACAATGGGCTGGAGAAATGACGCTAGAAAAATCAGTATCTTGAAGTAGCATATTTTCTAATTTTCTATTAAGGGCTAGCTCTTAGTTACAAAGAAAGTCAGATCTCTGAAGCCAGGTATAATGATGATGTCTGTAACCTCAGCCCTTAGATTGTCCTGAGTTCTAGGATAGCTTGCGCTGCATAGCGAGTTCAAAGTCAGACTGAGCTACACTATGACTATCTCAAAAATAGAAACCGTTACATTACTCTAAAATGTATACACTGAACTTGATGTGACCGCATTTACTCCCTACGTATGTTCCTTCTAAGTAGGTGCTCTGGTTCATCTTGAAATGGCCCAGCTTCCAGAAACAGTGTTGTCAGATCAAAAGTGCAAGGGTTAAGATTTCAACAGAGAAAATGTATATACATATTTTATTTTATTATATACAAAGAATAAAGTTTTAAAAGATAAACAAAATAGATGTTATAGTCATAATTGGTAGTCTCAAAAAAGTCTTGTCATTTCTAAGAGACACAGGCCTCAGAATGGGGTCTGGGAGGTGACTCAGGGTCAGACAGGTCTCCTGTAACAATGACACTCCAGGGAGGCTGTTGAAGTATGGAGGCCTGTGTTAGACCTTATGAAGGACTGAGAAACTGATGCTGCGTATCAAAGAAAGAACAAATGACAAGTGCTGAAGAAAGGGGACTTCCCGGGTCAGGTTTACTACTGACAATGATTATAGAGGTAATCAAGGAAACATAAGATATCTAGGTAAAATCCTGGGATTCTCATAATAGGAAACCTTTCTGCAGGTCTACAAATGGGTTAGTGACATGAAAAGGGAGAAGTGAGCTGAGAAGACAGAACAGAAAAGGGTGGTTAGAGGTTAAAAAAAAAAAATACACACTGAACTCAGCCCTATCACGACAGCAAGGGAGATGGCATTCACCTATGTTAAGTCCAAACCTGAAACAACAATTTTCATGTTTGGTATTTAATAATATGCAAGAAAAATATCCACTTGTTACAGAAGAGCTTCTTTATATAGAAAGCTAAAGCTAGAAACACATAGCCATGTAAATCCCAAATGAAATCGAACTTAACTACATTACTTGGAGTACAGGGATGATAACCAGGGCTTTTAATTCAACTACATTTACTGTGATGTCTTTGACACAGTCTGTCTTATCTTAATCTGTACACGTCTTCAAAACTGTGGAGTCTTAGCCTTATTTCTAACCCCGAGTAACTAGAGATTGATGGCGGCCCGCAGGGGCAACCTGCTCTTTGACACTGACTGCTCCGAGGTCTCTTCCGCTTTAGACTTCTCTACTGGTTTAACGCCTCTGTTTTCTTTGTCTTTTCCATGTGACTTTTTATGCTGTGGGTTTAAGAGGAGAAATGAAGTCACAATAATGTAACATTTACTAGACATTTAATGCTTTGTTATTAAAGTTCTATTATGCATTATAGAAAACCATGAAAGACAAAGCCTCAGCACAAATTTGAGACAACTTAAACAACAAAAAACAAACAACCACAACCAAATAAATACAGCCTTCTTTATTTTACCAGTAATGGAAGTAGAACTACTTTTTCTTTTTCTGTTGTTTTTTTGAGACAGGGTTTCTCTATGTGTAAAACCCTAGCTGTCCTAGAACTCAATCTATAGATCAGGCTAGCCTTGAACTCACAGAGATCTGCCTGCCTCAGCCTCCCTAGCGAGGCATGTGCCACCACTGCCTGGCAAGAAATATTACTTTTTTGCATTATTTTCTAAAACTTATTACAAATTTTCCTTTAAGACAGTGGTTCTCAACAGCAAGTGAGTCTGCCCCCTAGTGGACATACGCTGATGTCCAAGATATTTTAGGTGAGTACAACAGAGTGCTCCTAACTCCAGCAAGTACTTGCCTTAAATGGAAGTGTTCAACCTGCCGCTGTGCAGCTGGCCACAACACAGAATTACCCATTTTAAAACGTCAACAGTGCTGCTTAGAGAAAGGAAGATTTGTCACTATGAAGAAAGACGCTTTAGTTTATTCTCTATTAGAAATGTGTTTTACACTCTTCGGTGGTGGCATACTCCTTTGATCCCTGCACTTGGAAAGCGGAGCCAGGTAGATCTCTGAGTTCAAGGCCAGCCTGGTCTACAGAACAAGTTCCAGGACAGCTAGGGCTACACAGAGAAATCCTGTCTCAAAAAACAGGAAGAAAGGAAGGAAGGAGGGAGGGAGAGAGGGAGGGAGGGAGAGGGGAAGAGGGAGGGGGAGAGAGGAAGAAGGGAAGAAGAGAAAGTGTTCTCTATGCCCCTGGAAGTCTCCTATTCAGGAAGAAAGTCTTGCATACTCAAATTGTGAATGCTGAGACAAATCACAAATGAACTCTATAATAAAATTTTAGACTCTAGAGATGTAACTCAATTACTCAACATGTATAAGACCCTGAATTCTAAAAAGCCAAAACCAATAGTAAAGAATTGGCCTGCCAGTGTGAAGCAGTGGTATGATGAAGAATGACTAGCTATATCAGGCCAATAACAAGGAAAGGGTTAAAAGAATATAGTGGTGAAACTGCTTTGAGTTACATAAAAGATTTAAGAAAATCTGCAAAAAAAAAAAAGAGTTTAAACTTGGGTTGGACAGAGAACTTAGACCTTGAAGAAAAGGTCTGAGGAAGTCTCTTAAAAATAGATGCATAATATATGTGTATGTGTGTAGCATGTAAAAATAATACATGGACACACAACAGCAATACAACTGCAAATGCAGATATTATATGTTCTGCAAAAGGAAATTTTTACCTCATATAGGCTCCTATCTCAAAATATAAAAAAAGATGCCAAGCAGCTTTTTAGGGGAGTTTGTTTTGAGACAGGGCTTCACAGTGTGGCCTGGTTGGCCTGTAATTACTATGGAGACCAGACTGGCCTTGAACTTGCAGAGATTAACCTGTTTCTGCTTCCCAAGTGCAATGACCAAAGGTATGTGACACATCACCTGGCACCAGGCAGTTTTGAATCGCTTGTTCTCACTATGTTACACGGGCATGGTGCCTTACGCCTAATTCTAGACTAGTCTGTTCTACTGAGTGAGACTGCGTCAAAAGCAAACAAGATGGAAGGCACAGGATCTGTCGCAGGATTTACTTGTACAGCATCAAAGAGGCAGGGAGCTCAGGAAACCCAGGGGAATAATTAACAAGAGAAGAGCCTCCTGTATGTGGGATAAATCACTAGTACAAAATATGTCTCTTAAAAATCTTCTAAACCTTTAACCCTCAAAGTGTGATGGACAGAGATGGACGCCAGGACCTGCTGGGTAAAGGGTTACAAATAAGAGAGAAATAACTGCCCCTACAGTAAGAAACGGAAATGAGACAAAAATTACTAAAGATTACTTGCTAAAGTTATAGATGACATCAAAATTTACCTTTATGGATTCTATAAGTTATAGATGACATCAAAACTTAGCTTTATGGATTCTATAGAAGATTCCTTCATCAATATCAGACTATTTACACAATAAAAATTAGCAAGCCATTAGAAAGGAACGACTAAATTTTGTAGTTGTTGTTTTACACCAATAATATTGTATTTTGTTACTGCTTTATTTGTTTTGTTTTTGAAAGACAGGTCTCGCTTTGTTAGCCTTAGCTAGCTTCTGCCTCAGCCTTGCAAGTGTGGGGACTTTGGGTGTATACCATCATGCCTGGCTAGGCTAGGTATGATCCCTTTATACTAAATGGTAAAACTTTGTGGCTTACGACAGATGTGGAAGGAAGGGTGAGTGAAATATATTATCAAGTACCTGGAAAAATGGAACACCGCCAATGGAAGAACAATCCACGCTGGTGTGTACAAATGTCTCTTGACTTAAAAGTTCTTCAGGACACTCCTCCAGAACCTCCTTCTCTTCATCCATGTCCTAAAATAAGAAGCTGGATGAGTGGCTAAGTCCACGGCTGGATCATCACAAAGAACAGGATATGGTGGGGCAAGCTGTACAATTCCAGAACTCAGGAGGCAGAGGCAGAGGCAGCCTGAGACAGCATGGTGGTCCACACAGTAACCTCCAGGACATTCAGGGAAGACAAACCAAAGTCGTTATAAAGGCGATTTTCTTCTTAACTGTGCTTTCATATACGTTATACGAAAGTGGAGCTTTGATAATCATGGGAACGGTCTAAAGGTGCGTCCTCAATCTTACCTCACTGCTCTCTGTGTCGTTGTCTGAGCAGCCTGGCATCGCTAACGGCTTGGGCTCTTTCTTTTGCAGCTGTTCAAGGAGCTGTTCCCGGGGTTCAGCTCTCGCTAGTGTTGATGGATATAAATAAGTTTTCCTCTCTGGTGTCAAACCTTTACAGCGAACATTAGAAAGACAGAGGAAGATTAAGGCACACGCTAGTTGAAGTCTGTAATACTTTTCATGCAGTAATGGATCTTTAATAGCTCTGACAATTCTCAAGAGTCACCTACATCCAAACTTGAGAAGCTTCCACCTCAAGACACACAGAAGATGTACTATGCCAAAGAATGAATTTGGGGTAATGGAATTAAGTCTGTTTTACCAACTCTGAAAGGAGTAATCATTTCATTATAAATTTGATGTGCCTTGCTCTTAAGCAGTTATATTTCTTTATAAAGGACTTGCCCTTTCACTTAACATTCCATTTTCATTGATAGTTAACAATAAATCTGAAAGATTAAAGAAACAAAATAAACCAATATTCTTTTTTATCTATTTCAGTTTATTTACTTTACATCTCAAGGGTCCCCCCTTCCCTGTACCCCTTAACCTGGCCCCCAGAAAAGAGGAGCCCCCCTCGCCCTATATCAACCTTCCACAGCACATCAAGTCACATGGGGACTGAGCATATCTTCATCCCCTGAGGCCAGGCAAGGCAGCCCTGCAAGGCGGAAGTAATCCAAAAGCAGGCAGTAGAGTCCATGTTAGGAACAGCCCCCGGCCCCCTGCCAATATTCTTTAGTATAAACTCCTCATAATTACTTCTTTAAAAGAGAGCTTTGAGATGTAATTTATATGCCACAAAATCATTCAAAAATTGTATAATTCAATGACTTATGACTTATAATCCAATGAAAAGACAACTATTAATCTGTGTAAAATAGCTTACCAACCATGGTGATTTACCAATCTTTACCATTTCTGATCTCTAAAAATGGTGATTTCTAAATGATGCCAATGAATGACAAAGAGGGACATAAACAAATGCACCACACAGTGAACCCTGCATTAAAGAAGACTTACTGGCCTACTACTTTTGGTATTAAAACATCCTTTTAGACACAGTGTTGACAAAAGAGTTGGTAAGTTTCACTCGTTTTTAAAATGCTTTTCGGTTTTGGTTTGTTGGAGACAGGAGCTCTTATAGCCCAGATTAGCCTCAAGCTGACGATGTAGCTGCAGATGGCCTTGAACTCCTGACCACCCTACTTATTATACCTCCTGATTCCCATTAGTATAGGTGTGTGCTACTACACCCAACATTTTTTTTCTCTTTTATCAGGGTCGTGCTATGTAGCCGATGGTCTCCACAAGACAATTCTCTTCCCTTAGCCTTCTGAGAAAAAGAAATTGTAGAATTTCACAAACATTCAGACAACTGGCTTGTTTATATGCATGCTTTTAAGCCACACCAGGCTTTAAAATGTCTTTTCTTAACAAAGCCAGTTTCCCGAATGTTTATGAAATCTTATTCTATTGTGCCCAAATATCTAGGATCATACCGCTGACAAGAAGATAGCTAAGACTGGATTAAAATTATTTTGGTGTTCTAGATTTTTTTTATATTTAAATTTATTATAGCAAAGTGGTAAATTCCTATAAGGCAAAGGCAGGCCTCAGTTTCAAAGAGTATCTAAATCTAACACTGTATATAGTTGAATTCCATTTGAAAAACTTTATATCAATTCTATTTGTTTTAAAATACCCATTGGAGATTGAAGAAGTGTCTTAGTGGTTAAGAACATACATTATTCTTTCTGTTGTTGTTGTTTTATTTTATGAGACAAGGTTTCTTTCTATAGTCTTGGCTGTCCTGGATTCACTTTGTGGACCAAGCTAGCCTCAAACTCACAGAGATCCGCCTGCCTCTGCCTCCCAGAGTACTGGGCTCACAGGCATGTGGCACCACACCCACCTCTAATTCCAGCTCCAGAAGGACCCATTCACCTGGACTCCAGAGGCCCTGCACTAAAGTATATAAATAAATCCACCCATATCTGCCCTGCATAAGTAAGATGAAGCTTAGAAAGTAAAAATGAAATACCTGTTGAGATATCTAATTTCAGATCCTGTTGCAAAAAGCAATTAAGCTTTGTTAAACCAGTTTTTATAGTTTCGTCAAGCTCTAGGCTTCCTGCTTTTAATTTCTCTTCATCAGAAGTTATCTGAACAACAAAGGAACTATGCTGGTTCTCAACAGCAGCTGTGTATCCTCTTAATTTTTCAGTGATCTCTGACTTTGAAGCCTCACAACATCCATTTATAAACTGTGAAAGATACAAACAAGTTTTCATTACAAAATTTATAAGCGTTTATAGTTCATGTACCCTTTTATTACCTTGAAACTTTCCATAGTACAAAAACACATACTAAAGTAACAAGAACAAGGCAATTAGTCCCTATATTCACCATCCAACATGGGTGCTGGGGACCCGAGGAACACTGCTGCTAAGCCACCTCTCTCACTACTCATTCCTAACATTACTCCACAACAACAAAACAAAAAACAGCAACAAAAACAAACAACAACAAAGAACAAGACTAAAGGCTAAGTCTTACATCTTATTTTGCTCTATAGCTTATAATTTATTCTTTTACTTGAAAACTTTTTTTTTTTAGGACACTAGGTCTTAAGCTAGCAAGGGGTACACACTTTTAATCACACACATGGAGGAAGAGAGAAAGAAGCAGTGGGTAACTTTGAAGCCATCCCAGGCTAAATAATGAGTTCAAAGCTAGGAGGGGAAGGGGAAAGAAGGAAAGAGGGGAGAGAGGCTGGGTTGATGGCCACAAAGAAGCTAGGTCTTTGCCCACATCTCAGGTTCTGGATTTGGTCTCCAGGTTATACCAGGGTTTCATTCTTTCTGAATCAGTCTTAAGACTACATAGTACAGACTAGACTCATCAAGCTCTGATTCCCCCAGACCTTGCTCCCAAATGGAGGTATCACAGCTGTGTACCACCAAATCCAGCTCCTAATCATGCAGCCTCAGTTTAGTTCCTGGAACGTACATAAAAGTGAAAGGAGTTTTACCATGGTATACATGCCTGCACATCATGCACACAAACACGATAATAATAATTTTAAGGGGAAGGAGAGAGGCTTAATAATTAAGAGCACTTGTTGTTTATCCAGAGGACTCACGTTAGGTTTCCAGCACCCATGTCAGGGGGCTCACAACTGCCTGTGACTCCAACGCCAGGCGATCAGATGCTTTCTCTTGTCCTCCAGAGGTGTTCATTTACACACACACACACACACACACACACATCAAATAAAATACAACTTTTAAAGGAAAGAGTACCTGCCTTCCCTAAAGAGACTGACCAGTCAAAAACAAAGAATAAAGAACAGAAATTGAAGTAAATGGTAAATTAGATTTCAGAACTAAGACATGCTAAACATGAAACATCATCATGTGTAGGCATAGCAAGCATTACACATAAAAGCTTAAGTCATTTATTATATCTTAAAAGATTATATAATGTTTTGGTGTTTTGTTTTGTATGAGACAGGGTCTCTCCATGTAGCCCTGGCTACCCTGGAACTCACTATGTAGACCCGGCTGGTCTCAGACTCATAGAGATTAAAAGTGTATGCCAGTATGCCCAGCTTATATGTTTTTGTTGTTATTTTGTTTTTTGAGACAGGGCTTCTCTGTGTAGCCTTGGCTGTCCTGGACTAGTTTTGAAGACTAGGCTGGCCTCGAACTCAGATATCCTCCCAGAGTGCTGGCATTACAGGCGTGCGCCACCGTGCCTGGCTATATAATGTTTTAAAATCAATTCTAAGTCAAGAATATTTTCATTTCTGATTACAGCTATTCTCCCTAAAGTTAGTTCCAGGTACAGACATATTACCTCCATCAAGTTCTCAAGTTCCTCCTTCCTCTTGCTTAAACAGGATGTCCACTGCTCCGAAAAATCAATTGCACTTGTGTTCAGGGTCCCACAAGTCTGTGTGGTCTTCTGAGATACAGTTTCCAGGTTGCTGCTGAGTGAACTGCAACATCCTACAGAATCTTCAACCAACTGTGTGCCTTTTTGGTTAAAGTGTCTGAGTTCTTGTAATAACCCATCAGAATCGGCAATAATTTTTTTACTGTGAACTGTTGTTTTGTTGATTATATCTGTAGACTTCCTGTAGAGAGAAAAAAAACAAAAACAAAAACAAAATAACCCTGAGTTTAAGGCTAGTGTGGTCTACAAGTCAAGGTCCAAGGGCAATGTGTGCTATAGAGTAAGACTCTCAAATAAGCAAACACTAAAACAAAACAACCCCCGCAGCAACTGAAAATCAGTCACTCATGGAGAACCAGGAAAACCACAAGTCGAATAAAAAAGGCAATCAATAGATGCCATCAAGAACACTTGCTTTGGAATTAGCTGGCAAACATGTTTATAGAGGTTATCATAAAAGTAACTAAAGCCTCCAGCCTGGGACGCTTTCAGCACTTGGGAAGCTGGGGCAGAACTGCTTTGAAGTCACAGCTCTCAGGAGTGAGGTCCTATCTCCAGAAAGGAAGGTGGGAAGGAAAGAGCATACTTGTATACACATATACACAAATAAAAGTAAGTAAGTCACAAATTTACTTATAAGAAACCAGAATTGTTTGTACCACGTGAACTTTTTCTTCCTTTTGAAAATCATTCCAGGTTTACAGAAGACTTTAAAAGAAGTTAAAAGTCTTACTGCTCTGTCTTTTCTTGAATACTGCTCAGTGGTTTCTGGATGTTTTCACACTTCTTCTCCAAAGTACAGAACCTCTCTGCCCAACTATTGATTAACTGGCAAAGTTCCTGCAAGAAACATGGAGAAAGAGAAGGCTTGAAATGCTAGTATTTAAATGGTTGTTTTCTGTATATAAGTGGTAGCATGACAGGTAGGAATTTACTTTTGTTTTGTTTTGTTTTGTTTTTCCAGACAAGTTTCTCCGTGTAATAGCCCTGGCTGTCCGGACGGTTTGTATACTAGAACACAGAGCTCTGCCTGCCTCTGGGATGAATGGTATGTTTTTGAGATAAATAGGTCTCATTATATAGCTCAGGGTGGCCTCCCACTTGCTTGTCAATCCAGCCTCAGCCATTCCCCGCTGGGATTATAAGTACATAACAATACACTCAGATGAATTATATAAATTCTTGACAAAATATTTTTAATTTCACCTCTCACACATAGAGGAAAGCCCTGGAAGGAATATTAAAGGAACATTTTAGGACTTTTAAAAATAGTGAAGAATTAACAAAAAAGCTGGGCCTGGTGGTGCACTCCTGTAATCCCAGCATTCGGGGAGGCAGAGGCAGAGGCAGAGGCAGACAGATCTCTATGAGTTCAAAGCCAGCCTACAAAGTGGGTCTACAAAGTGAATCTTGGTCTACAAAGTGAATCCAGGACAGTCAAGGCTACACAGAGAAACCCTGTCTACCAGGGGTAGGGAATGCAAGGGTAGGCTAATTAACCAAAAGTATTTTTGCTTTTTTTTCTTCTCGAAGAAAGGGTCTCACGATATAGTCTTAGCGTGAATAAACAAAGTGTGTGACCCTACTGAAATGGGCTGGTTACCAAGCTTCGGGTGTTCACTATTACGCAGGCCCCAAGAATAAAGGACTGGAGCTGCGGTGGATACTAAGAGAAGACAGGGCTGAGTTTATCAAATAGTAACTATGCATATCACATAAGGAAAAAAAAATAAGTTGCAACATTTTCACTTTAAACGTTATAGCAATCTTCCTTTAAAGACATGCCTTCTGTCCTTTTCATCTTGCTGGGAGGAAAGAACCATTTTGTTTGCCATGATGTGGTTAAGCACAGAGTCCCTGATGCAAAAAACTCATCTAAAGAAGTATTCTCAAGCCACGTAGTGGTATCGCACGCCTTTAGGCCCAGCGCTCGGGAGGTAGAGCCAGACAGATCTCTTGAGTTCGAGAACAGCCTACTCTACAGAGTTCCAGGAGAACCAGGGCTACACAGAGAAACCTTGTGTCCAAAACAAACAAGCAAACAGGAAGGAAGGAAACCTCCGCCCAAAGAAGTATTCACAATTATTTTACACACATTACCATCAGAAACAAAGTGGTTGTGGTGACCTCATATATCCAGAGTTTTGTAGCATTCAGACTGTGTGACATAGATTAATAAATTCATTAAGGCATTAGAGACACCAGTTAAAAGATACCTGCGAATGGGTTTCCTTTATTATCTTCAGCTCTTCATTTAAGCTTCCACAAAGCTTTTGCGATTCAACCAGGGAAGAAACTGTATTTTCTTGGAGTTCATGTAGATTGTTACACAATACACTGAGAAAACCGTCTATTTCTCTTTTCTGATCTTCTATCTTTGAAGAAAAAAAAAATTAGTTTCTTTTTTAAGTAACCTCTCAAATTTGAGTTATTAAGAAGGTCACATATGTACCTTTTCAGCCATTGTCAATGATGTCCTAAAAATATCCTGTAGTTGCCTGTTGATGTTGAAGATGGAAACCACACCCGGGGCTAAGATGGTCTTCAGAGAAGCAAGAAGGTCAGTCACAAGTTCATTCTGGTTTTTAAAACAAACAAAGCAAATTCTTAAGAATGTTTTCATTTCCGTTAACCTGGCTGATAGATGTCAGATATTTACCAACCAAACACCCAAATCCAAAATTCTGAACTGACATTCTTTATAACCTAGAGCGACACAGCTGGATATTCCACCTATATCACTAGTCCTGCTCCAGTAACTAAAACAATATTCACTAAGTGTATAGTAAATGCTGAATTCTCTTTTGTGCTTGTTGGGCATCTTGTGGCCCAGGCTGACCTGACTCACTGTGTAGCTGAGGATGATCTGGAACTCCTGTTACTGCTGCCTCCACCCTATCAGGATCGCAGGCATGAACCGCGATGCCTGCCTTTTTAGTGAAAGTTTAACAGTCTAATAGAACTCAGAAAAGAAAAACGAGAGTAAAGGTTAAGATTCTAGAACTCTAGTTTGAGCCCTTGCATAGGAAAACAACAAATTCTACAGGTACATTTTAACATAATGAATTGTAAACATCTTTAGGTTATTAGTAAAACAAAACAAAACAAAACAAAACAAAAAAACTAAGCCAAAAAAAATTATTAAGTGTAGGCCCTAGGGGGCTGGAAGAATGGCTCAGTGGTTAAGAACATGTGCTGCTTTTGTGGAGGACCAAAGTTCAATTCCCAGTACATATATTAGGTGGCTTACCCTGTCTGTAACTCTGGCTCCAGGAGATCCAATGCCAACTTCTGGTACCCATACTCACTTGTACATACCCTTCCACCCAACATAAACAGGAAAAACAAACAAACAAAAAAAGGAAGCCTTTGGAGCCAAACACTAACTCATGCCTGAAACCCTGCTACTCAAGAGGTAAAAGCAGGATGATTAACATGAGCCCTAAACCAACCTGGACTACATAGTGAGTTCTAGGCCAACTTGAGATACAGAGTAAGACCTAAACTCAAAACACCTAGGGAGGGAGGGAGCACACTTTTAGACTAGAAGTATTTAACTCTAAAGATCCTGTGACTTAGAGCTTATTGTATAGAACTTGTGTGTTCTTGTTCTTGAAGAAGAACATGTGAAATTGAGAATATAATGTAAAGATGCTTTCACTAGGGAAAGTGCAACAAATAAATACAAAATTAAACAGAAATAAGTTAGTAGGCTGCATTTGGTAAGTTAATTCTTTTGCCAGAACCCACATTACCAAAACAAACAAAAGAGCCGCGTGTAGCACATCCTTGTAACCTCAGCACAGGAAGGGAGGTGGTGTTGGAGACAGGTAGATCCCTGGGGATGAGCATGTTTCAAGAGCTCACTTAGAATGCCTGACACAAAAGTCCATCTCCAGAACCCATGTGAAGGTTGAAGGAGAAACGGATTCCACAAAGTTTTCCCCGGACCCCTATGAGCACACCATGGCAACATGTACCCTGCACACACTATAAAAATAAATCAAATTTTTTTTTTTTTTTTTTTTTTTAAAGAAAGCACTGGAGACAGTGGCCCACACCTGTATTCCCAGCACTTGGGAGGCAGAGGCAGAGGCAGAGACAGATCTCTGAGTTCAAGACCAGCCTACAGAGTAGAGTGAGTTCTAAGACAGTGAGGGCTCATGTTACACAGATAAAACCTGTCTCAAATAAATAAAAAATTTAAAAATTAAAAAAAAAAAAAAAAAAAAAAGCAACTTAAGATACCTGAGGTTGTTTTTTTTGGGCTTCTTACCCACCGATGCTTACATTTATGAGCATATGCCTGCACGTAGCGCACAGGGAAGGAAGAAAGAAAGGACAAGAAAAAAGAGAAATGAGTATAGTAAAGAAGCTGTATGGGTCTTTTGGAAGCATACTAATTTCAACAAATTCTGTGAGAACAGTCGTCATCACTTCCTTTGATTCAAGCAGAGGTTTTGTCATTCGTCCATGTCCCCTACCTCCTGTTGCTTGGTTGTTTTGTTTGAGGCAGTCTCAGTATTGGCCTGGAAGTTGCTATATAAAACCTCAAACTCAGAGATCCACTTGCCTCTGCCTCCCAAGAGCTGAGATTAAAGGTGGACACAACCATACCAGACTTCAAGCAGTATTTTCAACTTACTATGTATAAATATATCAACAAACACATGAAGGTTCTGAAGTTAGTAACAGAATGCTGTAACTGTCAAATTTGGGTGACTGAAGACATCTGTATCATAGAAGCACTGAGTGTAGCCAAAGGGTTAGTTAATATTTGTAGTATTTATACAGAAACTAGGGACTGAAAAGATGGCTCAGTGGTTAAGGGTAATGGCTGTTCTTCCAGAGAACCCAGTTTGATTCCCAGCACCCATATGGCAGCTCAAAACCACCTGTGACTCCAGTAGAGTATCCAATGTCTTCTTCAAGCCACCGAGGGGACTGTGTACACACAGTGCATAGGCATATATACAAAATACTCAAACATATAAAAATAAGAAAATAAAAATTATTAGATTATTACTCTCAAAATGAAGCAAAGATTCTAACAAAGAAATAACTAATATGTCCAGGAACATTCTAGAAAAACAATACAATTATAGGCTACAGGTAAATCAGGGTTGGTAAGATGGCACAGGAGATAGGGGTTGTCTGTTGACAAGCCTGACATATGATCCCTGGAACACACATGGTCAAAGAGAGAACTCACCCTCATAAGTTGCCCTCTAATTTCCACATGCAAGCCACAATACACATGTGCACACACATTCGCAAAATATTATAAATTTTAGAACAAAGACAATTAGATATAACAAATAGATGAATGATTTTTTGTCCTCATAACTCAGGCTGGGTTGGCAATCTTTATATAGTTCATGCTGGCTTCAAATTCATGGTCCCCTTGATTCAACCTCACAAGTGCTGCAAATGCCCAGCATACCATCACCCCTGCATATTTCTACATGGAGAAAAGTATTTAGAGTAAGGCCTAGTAGAGCTTAGTCTTGTAACTCTAGTGCGAAAAATTATATTACACGTCCCTAGAGTTTACTTGTTGTTTTCCCTGAATTATTATTACATTTTGTCTCATATTACTATCACCACCACATATTATTTAAGCTTTAAAATTAGCTGTCCATGAGCCAGCAAGACAGCTCAATAGGTAAAGACTTACTATGTAGCTGGATGACCTGCATTTGATCCCAGAATGTACAGTGGAAGGACTATGAAGAGTGTTCTCTGACCTCACAAATGTTATAGCATACGCCCTCACTCAACACCATACCCCTAGACTAAAATAAAGAAAATGGGCTACTTATGTTTGGCCAAACCAGCTGTCTGCTATCTCCTGTTGGGTTAACCTAGCCCCAGTAATAGACCATAAGTCTCTTGAATCCACGTGGGCTGCTCTCTGGTGACAAGAAGGCTCATTAATAACTACTACTCTTTTGTTTGTGACAGGTCCTCTTGTAACTTTGAACTCACTAAAAACCAAGGAAGGCTTTCATCTCCTGGTCCTTTTGTATCTATCTTTTCTTTTCCTTTCTCAAAACAAACAAACAAAAAACAAATCCAAAACAACAACAACAAAAAAATTGTGTGTGCCACCACTGCCCAGCCTGCCTCCATCTTTTAATTGCTAAAGTTACAGACATGTGAACTACAATGGCTTAATTATTCGTACTCTCAACTACACCAAATGAGTAAAAACAGTTTCAAAGTTTAGTCACAACCTCTTGGAAACCAGTCTTTCTGTGGGGGAGGAAACAGAAACAAAAGCCCTGCAGCTCTATCTAACAAAGCTTAAGTTGAACGAGCAGTTAACACTGATGATTGATCACCCTGTGAAAACATTAAGGGATTTACTAACAATCAATCCTTGCAGCACAGTTTTACTTTGTGCTGCTAATGACTGCTCTTCCAATATCCTATCAGAAATCTGAGAAACACGAGTGGACACGCCTTCTGGGATAGACAGGAGAGATTCAATCGCTGTCGTGGTAACAGTGTCTAAGGCAGAGACACTAGATGACATCAGGTTACCTACAAAAAAGAAGAGATGCAAACTTTGGCATAAATATATTTAAATGCAGCTAAAACCACTTTCAAATAACTCAAAATCAATTTTTTACTGTGGAGTTTGCAATAACTACATTAAAGAATTGCCTTACTACACAATCAAGAAAAGATGTAAATATTAATGTTCTATTAGCCCTTGCATGTTAAAAGCATATCATACTTAAGTATACCTTAGAATCTTAGAATAATTTTAAAATTAGAATCTACTTTTCTTCATTTGAGATGAACTTGACTCCAGTCAATCATGTTTCAGCTTCCCAAGTGCTAAGATTAGAGGCATGAACCACTGGATTGAAGAATTAGAATACTCTAAACTGAGTATCTAAAATTCAGTCTTATAGCAGACAGGAATTTATTAACGAGAGAGAACTGCACCTAATTACTATGAAACACACTTATAATCCCAGCACTTTCGAGGAGGAGACAGAAGGATCAGGTTCAGCTGCACAGCACAAGGTAATTCAAGGCTATCCTCAACTACATATGTGGCTAGGGGTTAAACTGGGTTAGGAGAGACTATCTCAAAAGAAAGCATAAAACACACAGACACACACATGCATACACATCCACAAAATAAACAAAAAAATTATGACTTTAAAATAAATTATTTCTGTATTTTGTGTGTATATATCTGTGCACTTAAACATTTGAGAAGAGGATGTCAGATCCCCTGGAACTAGAGTTGCTGCTATGCGGGTGCACGGGTGGCTAGGAATTAAACTATGCTCTCCAGCATTTTTTTTTATTTTTTTATTTTTTATTTTTTTTGAGACAGGGATTCTCTGTGTAGCCTTGACTGTCCTGGACTCTTTGTAGACCAGGCTGGTCTCGAACTCACAGAGATGGCGTGCTCTACCACACCTAGCTGAGAAATTTTATTTATAATAATATGCTAATTTGATAAATCTTATTGTATAAAAGTCTAAACTCAAACAACAAACCTCTAAAATTTGTTGTAAAGAAAGCAAAAATATTCATCTCTTGCCTAAACAGCTAATCCGTTCAGTGAGACAGGCACTAGTGACACTGTCACCTGAATTGTTCTTGTTGTTTAAAACAGTAATGAGTTCGTTTTGAGACATGTTAGCTCATACCTAACTCCAGCACTCAAGCTGAGGCAGGAGGATCACAAATTCAAAGCCAGCTTGTGTTACAGAGTGAGTTTAAGTTCACTTTAGTCAACTTAGTGACCCTGTCTCAAGACAGAAAGACAGACAGTAAGACTAGAATGGGCTAGTAATTTAGCTCAGTTGCCAGAACACCTGCTTAATATGCAGAGCCCTGGATCCCATCTCCATCATAGCATAAACCAGGTGCCATGGCACAGGCCTACCATGCCAGTGCTCATGAGCTCTAAGAGCAAGCAAGTGAGCAGGCCTAGTTTCACTACTAGTCTCAAAAGAAATAAGGTGGAGGAGGTCTAGAGAGGAGGCTTAAGGTTAAGAGTACTGACTGCTCCAAAGGTGGAGTCTGATCCCCAGCACCCATGTCAGAATATAAAATAACCTAACTTGACTGGCTGTCCTGGCATACCGCCTTTAGTTCCAGCACTTGGGAGGCAGAGGTAGGTGGATCTCTATGAGTTCAAGGCCAGTCTTAAGTCCAGGACAGCCAGGGCTACACAAAGAAACCCTGTCTTAAAACACAAAATAACAACAAACAAACAAACAAAAAAACTCTTAAGAACAACACTAAGAAATAACATTTTAGCTTGTTCTCTGACCTCCACATTCATGAACACACATACCCACAGGACACACCCACAGCAATGCTTGTACTCACCAAACAGTGTCTTATGACCTTCTAGCATGGCCTTTTGCTTTGCACTGCCAGCCTTAATCAGTTCTTCCATATTATTGAACAGATTGTTGAGGTTTTTGCCAAAAACATCCTGAGCTTCAGCGTTGTGTTTATCAATTGCTCTCTTGCGGTCCAGTTTAGAATGGAGACCAGACACATCCCTAGTAGTTTGTTTAACTGTGTTAAGCAACTGTATGTATAAAAACAAACAAAACAAAAAAGATAACATAAAAACAGTCTAATCAAAGTGCCTGTGTTCCATAAGGATCTCTCCCTGATGAGAACTAGACACGAAAGTTTAGACACTATATCAGAAAAAGTTAAACTTATGCTAATGTACCCAGATGCTCAGGAATGCTTAGTCCCAACCAAGCCCCTCTCTCCCAGACAGTCATCTGTGCAAAGAAAACTGACATTGCAAACTCATTCTAGTAACTGCTTGCTCATAAACGGTTTTTCCTTTTACTGTCTCCTCAAAAAATATACCTCAAAAAATGTAATAATTTCATTACAGTTTAAAAAGAGATGGGTCAAATAATAAAATATTGTTTCATAAATGGATATATATTATATAACATTTGGAATGAATAAATTAAAATCTTACTATCAAAGCTTAAGCAAGAATTTCTACCCACCCTTCAATGTTTTCACTACAAAGGACAAACCTTGCTGGCAGTATCATGAAGTTTCTCTTGAGTTCTTTCCAAAGCTGAAGACACATATTCCTCTTTAACAAGTTGTAATTTTGTTTCCTGTAAATGTTTCTGAGTGGTTTCAAGTTCCTGTGTCTTGGTTTGCAGGTCACATTTACACTGGTCAAGTTCATTTTTACTATCCACAAATAACCCTGTAACCTACATATAATGAATACATTAAACAATTCTTTAAGAATCAGAAAAAAAAAAAATACTCTGGCTAGTGAAACACTTGGCTAGTTAATAATATTGGGAAAATAACACAAATTATTTAAATGTAAAAATCGTAATAGTTTACCATTAAAAACTAGAATATTTTTAATGGTATCTGGTCTGCCCCTAAAAAGCTTATTTAAACTTAAGTAATGTCTAATGTAGCAGTATTAATTCTTCAAGTTCCTCCCAGGACTTCACTGGATTGCAATTTCCTTGTCAAGTGGCCTTGCATTATCACCCAGAATGCCTACCTTACTGAGCTCCTCCTCAAGAACAACGATTTTTTCAGCCAACTCAACAATTTGTTCCTCCTGAACAGTTAATTTTCCATTCATGGCTCTAAAACAAAGTTTAGCACAAATATAGCAGTTATACAGAAATGTTTTCTTCTAAATCCTACAAAATGTTAGTCCTATTGTATAACAAAATACAACAAAAATTATGGCAACTACACAAATTCAACTCCACACTTCTCGCCCTCATGATACTACTTACGTGGTGATAAACAGCAAGTGCAAAATGCAACTAACAAATGTCGCCTCTTCTAAAACAGGATTTACTTATATTTAGTTTATGTATAGGAGTGTTTTGCCTGCATTTATGTCCACGGACCACTTGCATACCTAGTGCCCATGGGGACCAGCAGAGGGCATCGGATCCCCCTGCAACTGGACTTCAGTGTGAGCCCATGCCAGTGATGGGAACTGAACCTGGGTCAACTGGAAGAGCAGTCAGGGCCCAACTAAGCCATCTCTCCAGCCCCTGCCTGTTTTATAAATGGAACATTTCTCCTTTGACCTCTACTCTGAAACTTAGGATATTTTTCTATGAAGGAAAGGTGCGTGTGTGCAAATCTGAGAGGCTAAGGAGCTAGGGAGTGAGTCAGTGACAGGGGGCTTGTCCGAATACACAGGAGACTCTGGATTTGGTTCCTAGCATCAGGAAATACATATAAAATAAAACTGCATGTTGAGAAGAAGGTAACGCAAAGGAGGGATGGAAGGACATAACCTATGTGGCTGCAATCAGTGATATGTAACACAAAAATGACCCCTGATGGAGTAAGGGCTTAAGACTTGAAGAAATGGGTGAGATAAGTGACTAACCAGCAGAAGACCGAATCATAGTATGTTACAGAGCAGTATCTGTCCTCAGTATCTACAGGGGATGCCACACCCAGTTATACTAGTCTGTGTACAGACAGCACTGTTACACTAGTACTAGGCCTTGTGCAGCATGTCTCAGCTTCAGCAGTTCAGGTGTTTTGTACAACAGTTCTTTGTTGAGGGCTATCCTGCACATATCAGGATATTCAGTGACATCCCTGCTTTAGAGCTACTGGGTGCCATCAGGGTTCCCCACCCACACCAATGAGAACCATCAAAGAGGCCTAGATGAGGTCTGGAATGCTGCAGAAATGTACAACTGTTTTACATACTTAGCCTTTGTACTTTTTTCCAGCGTTTATGTTAATCAGTTAGGATCTGAGCAAAGGTGTGTTTAAAACAGCAATCACATGTGCTAAGGCCAGTGTTTCGTCCAGGGTGTCAGTAGACACACATGAAGATGACCTGATATCCTGCTGAAAGGATGGGTAACTGCCCTGCCCCATCCTAGAAGCAAAGCATGGATTTTGTTTTGTTTTGTTTTGTTTTTTTAAAAAACAAAATTAAAAACAGGACTGTATTATTGCCTTAAATATGTTTGCTAGCTAGAACATATTAAGATGTATTTATTTGCTTCTAGGATTAAACATTTTGGGCATTTTTATAGCTACTTTTTTTTTCTTTTGGTTTTTTGAGACAGCTTTCTCTGTGTAATAGAACCTTGGCTGTCCTAGAACCTAATCTGTAGAACAGGCTGGCTTCAAGCTCACAGAGATCCACCTGCCTCTGCCTCCCTCAGTGGTGGAATTAAAGGTGTGTGTCACCATGTCTGGCTTGAAGCCCCTACTAAGTGTAGGAAATTCTCACAGGTTTCAGGTTGGACGTGGGCTGGGGTACAAGTGAAAGAACCAGATCAACAAAAACAGCCTAAACTTTTGGTACACAGAATATGAATTCTTAAATAGAGACCACAATTTTTTGTAATCTTTGTTAAATATATACTAAGAAAACCCTTAATGTTTTTGTTTTAATGAAGAAAACATGAGAAAAATCAGATGGATCTGTTAATACAACAGCTTTAAAATGCTGACTTTGACAGGGCTGTAATTACCAGAAATATTGATTATTTACCAAAGGAAGAAAAATAAATGCCAACAAACAAACAAACAAACAGAAACCAAAGAAACCAACCCACAAGAGTCACCTGAAGCAATACAGGAGACAAGTAAGCACTTGGCTTAAGAGCTAACACTTCCCATCTTTGTGTGGGTGAGATTACCCAGCGTCCCATGCTCAGAACATGACATCTTTAGAACATTTAATATACTTGGCTGTGATTTGATTATTAACACAAGAAGAAGGGCGAGGTGGATTAGAGTCTACTGAGCTTAATTCAGATCCTAATATACTGAAAGTGCTAAGAAGTCCTGGATGCATTTTAAAATGATCTCTCTGGGAACTTCCATATAATAACTTCTTATCAAACGTACTCAGGAACTGGAGCAGCAGGGAGCTGTGAAGAGTCACAGCCCCGGGCTCTGGGACAATGTTGTTCCCAGACCAGATACCAGTAGAACCTTTCAGGCTTACTCAGAAACTCCAAGCCAGTGGGGTTACAGATGCCATAAATTAAGCCACGTGGATTCTATCAGGAACTTTTTTTCTTTTTTTGGTTATTTGAGACAAGGTGTATCAGGAAAACTTTTAAACTTTAGGAATCTTTTATTTGTAGAGTGATGGAATTGACTACTACTTATAATAATAATAATAATAATAATAATAATAATAATAATAATAATAATAATAAT